AGGAGGGAAGCATTTTTATTGGACGAAAAATAGAGCACTTTAAATATTATTTTATTTTTCGACCGGAACACGTGTGTCGGGAACATTTGTAAAGAAAGATGATGGTCATTTTGTGACGGGGCTTTGTCCCATTTACATCCGGTTCTCGCTCTTGAGTATTTGCCTGTAAATCAGCCGAGATATGTCTTATTTTATTTTATAACAGACTCTGCATACACAGGGTCTGGTTTATCTACCTACCCAGAAGAGGCAATGCCTACAGGCAGAGTCTTATCTGGATTCCTCTCTGTCTGAAGGTAGAGAATTCAACAAGTCTGTCATCAGCCTGGTAGCGAACTGTCTGACTCTGAATGGCTTCTTTTCTTATCTCTGACTTGGAGATAGTTATGGACTAGTTCATACAGCCACAGTAGATGTACTATTTACTCTACAACACTCCCCGCTTTTGAGATTAATATTTTTTATAAATACTTTATTTTTTATTAGTATTAGTATCTCCTCCTCCTCTTTCTGGAGAATTTGCCAACATACTTGACTCTGTAGCCATCTTGGATCCATTTCCAGTTCTTCAGTATGCTTTCTTTTTCTAAAACATTTCATTGTAGGCTCCACAACTTGTTGTTGTGCAGGCACATCAAAAATATCATACAGCATTTTTATCAATTCTTTCAATGTTTCAGGTTTTTCATCAATAAACCTTTTCTCTGCTGATTATAGCGTCTTTTATGTTCAAATCTTTTCCCTTTTACCATGTAAAGTAATTTCCTAATTCTTGCTGATTTTTTGCTGTCTTCTCACATTTCTTTGCTATCCTTATATGATCTAAAGAACACTTTATTGCCAACCTTGTAACTTTTGGTGTCATTTTTGTTATCCATTTGTGTTTTTTAACTTGGTAATAAATTCCCTATTTACATTATTCGGACTATTGTCCTCATCTTTGTTGCCATATTTATCACATTTTGGTCGTTGTATGCTCCGACCTTCTTCAGGTGGTGGGAATGTCAAACTGAACCCTTTATTTCGCTCGATGGGGTAGACTGTTCTAGTTCCACGTGCCATGTTTTTAATGGATGTCAGTTATCATTTATCTCTTGTTAATTCCCCTCTACAAGTTCTCCACTGCCAGGTATTGAACTCACACTCTTTGGTTCCTGTCACTGGATCTAACTAATGCCTTTATTCACTGTGCCATGTGTCCTTGAGGACACATGGCACAGTGGATAAAGGATGACAGGACCTAAAGAGTGTGAGTTCAATACCTGGTTACGGCAGTAGAGAACTTGAAGATGGGAATTAACAGGAGATAACTGATAACTGACATCCATTAAACATGGCACATGGAACTAGAACAGTCTAACCCAGTGAGCGAAATAAAGGGTCCAGTTTGACATCCAACCACCTGAAGGACACCCGAGTGAACAACGTCTAAAACGTTGTGATAAATATGGCAACAAAGATGAGGATAATAGTCCAAATAATGTAAACAGTGCACATAACACCTCATCTCAGAAATATAGACAAATACTAGTAATAACTTGTCGAACATTGATTTTATTTTTCTAGCAAACATTAAACATGCCTGAGAGTGTATTGGAGTTAGGGGTTATATGGTAAACTCTGAGAAAATTTTAAAGTTCTTTCTCATTTAATTTCTCATGACTCACTTTCTTCAGTGCTCTTTCAGTGTTCCTCCAATTTGTTCTGCTTGTCTAAAGGGGATATAGAGGGGTCGTAATATGTTCAATGGAGAACATCTTACAAAAGTCATCAAATTCTTTATCCATGAATTGCGTTCCATTATGAGAGTCTATGTTATCTGGTATGCCATAAATATTATATATCTGTTATCTGGTATGCCATAAATGTTATATATCTGTTATCTGGTATGCCATAAATGCCATATGTTATCTGTTATGCCATAAATCCCAAACAGTTCATGCAAGAAATTCACTATCACTCAACATGTTGGAAACTATCAACTACCACAAGATAATGTAATCCATTCATAGGACTTGCAAAATCTATATGCAGTCTTGATCATGGTGTGTCTCTCTTTGGCCAAGGTTCTATCTTTGTGATGGGTAGTTTTTGTTGTGCCATAGTACCTATTCTTTGGTAATGGACTCTCCCATAGATAATAAGTAGGAGTAGCAGTGGCAAGTCTGCAGAATAGTGTTGAGATTCGGACATTTAAAGTACCAACCATCACAACTAGATTTGCTGCGTCATTGACTATTGTATTCCAAGTTCCTAACGTTTTGTACGACTTATTAGAAATACCAGCCTCCACTGTGTAAATACTCCACAACAGTTTTGCTGCCAGAGCACAACCTCTGCAAGCTTTCACTATTTTTTCTTCATCTTGGTCCATTCTGATCCAAGATATGAAACTTCACAGAGATTTAATTCTTGAAATACTGGGATGTCCACTATGAAAAATCTTCAGTATTCACTTCTGTGACATACTCGGTATTACAACCCTTTGCCCAGACATTATTGTATTGTGAGTAAGCATTTAAGTCTGGATTTCATTCTCTGTTACTGTTATATAGGAATAAAGTGTCACTGCTGACACTTGAGTTTGAACATAGATGACCAATGAACAAACATGGGCGATCCCATTATTGAATTAAGTAGATCATGTGACCATAGAGGAAACACGTAAGTAGGAATTAGCTTGGCATCTAATTGATCGTCATTCTAGTCTATACTGATTACTATTTGGATCACTATTTCTACTCTATTCTCTATTGTTATACCGCTATTCTCTACTCTATTCACTATACTGTTTCTCTATACTGATCAGTATATGGTAGTTACTATTTGAGTGAGTATTATCGAGCAAGTACTATTAGTGTGAGTGATATTCAAAGGCGTCTGACACCAAACGGTGTACTATAGTTGTATCTGCGATTACAAAGTCTCTACTAAAACAAGCATTACAAAAGTGACAACAGGTATTTGTTGACATCACAAAAGTGACAACGGATGTTTGTTGAGTCACAAAAGTCACTTTCTTTCAATTGTTTTTTTTTTATTTTTGCAATAAAGACGTCATTTTCTGCTTTTTCTTTTATTTTTTCCAGGGTAATTGGTAAGTCTCATACAATGTTGCACAAAAAGGTTTTATTTGCATTTTTAGTGCTGCAATGACCATGTTCTCAAAGGGTTCCACATTTTTAGGTATTAATCTTGATAATCGATCCACATGTCCTAATTTTTTAGATGGTTGGTACTCCATCATAAAATCATAGTTTAACAGGATGGTACCCCAGCATTGTAGTCTATTAGCTGTATGAGTAGGTAGTCCTTTCTTTGAACCATATATTCTTAATAAAGGCTTGTGGTCTGTTTGCAACCAAAAATTTCTTCCATGAATAAATTGATGAAATTTCTTCACAGCAAATTTTCCTGTCGGAGAGTGACTATTTTCTACAAAATTTCTCTAACATTCAGGCCAGTAAATGTAATTAATACTGTTTAATTAAAAAACATAGCATTTACTTAAATAAATTATATCTATAAAAGTAATGTATAATCAGAAAATATATTAAATAATTGTTGGACTTAATCTATTTCTAATATATTGTCTTTTTTTACTTAAGATATGTTTCATGAGCAGAAATGATTGATTGAGAAAAATCATCAAAGGTGTGTGTTTATAAACAATAATTTGAATTTTGCTAACCTGACACTTCTTTGTGGCTTAATGGTTAACAGCACATCAGGTCAAATTACAGTTCCTATAAGGGTTACAGGTTTGATTCCTGTCAGAGAATGCATATTTATTATGAAAGTTCTCGAACATTCAGGCTGGTAAACGTAATTAATAGAGTTTAATTAAAAGAACAGAGCATTTACTTAAATAAATTATATCCATAAAAAATAACGTATAAACAGAAAAATATATATATATATATATATATATATATATATATATATATATATATATATATCTTTAAAAATATGACAAAATGGAAAATTTCTTGTGATGGATTTCATCTGTTAGGATTTCATTAGACTGGGCTTTGTTGATGTTGCCATGTCTACACATGTGCACAAAAACCAAGGGGGTTGCAGTGAGTGTGACTAGATGTAAATGGTGATGCAGTTGCAGAAATTGTTTGACAGCCATGACTGTGTTCTCTTCCCTTTTTGGCATGGTGCAGAGTCCTGTTGCCAGACATAGAGTCTTCCAGCAGCCACCCTCTTGACCCAGGGCAATTCTACCTCCTCAAAGCATGATGTAAGCCTACGTGTTGAGTCTGAAGCCCTGTGGGAAGATGAAAGAGGTATAACATTGCCATCACTAGTGATCACTCCAAACACATTCATAGTCACCATTAGACTCATCCAACTCTTTCCAAATCCTCTGCACTGTCTTCAGATTGACACCCAAAATCTCTGAAATGTTCGTATTGCTATTTTTCTCCCAGACAGTGCCCAACTGACCCTACTATACAGTGCAGTTGACAAAATCAAAAACAAACAACACCCATGCACAAAATTAAAAATATAAAATGGTGACAATTTCTCCATTGTACTCTGTACAGATGTTTGTAAATACAAATGATTTATTTAACAGGCATGAGACCATGTTTTCTTTATTTTTATTTTATTATTGTTTGAAATTTGGACATTTGGAATTTTATTACAAAAATCCTGGATGATAGAATTTCCTACAGTGCTGACGTCAGCCAATAATTCATCAAGCAATAATAAACTATTCTATTGTAACATATAACATTGTCTACAACAGCTTAACTTTGACGACTCATACATTACCATAAATTGGGGACTTGGAATAAATATCTATAACAGTGTTTAATACTTTTTAGCTTCGCCTGATTAAAATCTACAATAATATGTGTATTTTTGCACCAAATTCTAGTGTCTTTGCTTAAGGTCATTATTTCCTTCAGTATAAGTGAAAAAGGAACCATATGTTATGATTTAATGAAACCTATCATACCATGTACACTGGAAACTATAGGGAAATGAGATGTAACATGGAAAGCATATCAGCTGCAGAGAAATGTGCTCATCATATAAAGCAACCAAAAAAAAAAATGGCTTGTGTATGCTGGTGTCAGGTATTTAAATTAGGATTCCTGGCTTTATATTCAACTTTTCTACTAGCTTTTATTTTATATATTAAATTCGGAGTTGTCTTTCTCCTAGACTGGTCAGCAACCAAGGCTAGGAAGTTCCGTCTGTTTTGCTTTTAACCCCTAGCTAGGGAGAGGAGAGATTGATTCATGAATGTATGTTCTGAATTTGATGAAACCTGAAATACCATGTACACTGGAAACTATAGGTTAATGAGATGCAACTGAGAGGAAATACACTAATATGGAAAATCTCGCATATCAGCTGCAGAGAAATGTGCTCACCATATGAAGCAACGAAAGAAGAATGATCTGTGTAGTGGGGGATGTGTTTAAATTAGGATTTCTGGCTTTATGTTCAGCATTTCTCCTAGTTTGATTCTTATATATTAAATTATCCTTCTCTTAGACTGGTTGCCAACCAAAGCTAGGGAACCCTGTCTGCCCCACTTTTAACCCCTAGCTAGGAAGAGAAGAGATTGATTCATACCTTTCTAAAGTGTATTTGTGTGAAAGTGAATGCAATGGCCTCAACTGGAATTTGAACTTGACCTACCAATTTTATTTTCTTTGCCCAACCACTACACTATGTGTGCAACCGTTCTAAAATATATTAGTTAACTAATCAAAGTACTGATATGCCAGAAGTCATCGGATAACAGTATGCAAAGTACTAGTGATAGCTGTTAGTAGTGTTTGATCCCTTGTACTTAAATATACCTCTTAGTATTAACCAAGTGAAAACTATAGGGAAACAAGATGCAACTGAGAGGAAATACACTAATGTGGGAAATCTCACTAATCAACTGCAGAGAAATGTGCTTGTTATATTAATGACTTGTGTAGGGGTTGGAGGAATGTGTTTAAATTAATATTTCTGGCTTTATGTTCACCTTTTCTGTTAGCTTGCTTTTTATATACAGTAATGTTTTCCACTATAGCTAGCAAGAACATGTCATCCAGTAACTATCATAAAAGATGACTGTAGCTCTAAAATTTATGCTGATTAACTAATCTATACACTGATGTGCCATTAGTAGTTTGTAAAGGTAGATGGTGCCACCATAACTTGATGTTATAGTAATGCTCAGACCATATCAGTTGAGCACTGACATTTGGTGAGTCAAAGTGAACACTGGCTAGGCTGCTTAATGAATTATTGGAATTTAAATTGTGCTTGACAGTTGATGCCAGACAGCCAAGATATTCCATTTCTGAAATCATGGGGACATTTAACATCACATGATGTCATAGTTTTTGACTAATTTGTATTTTATGGCTTATCAACCTCTTGCAGGTTATTTATAGTTAGAAATATTTTTTAGATTGTCATAATTTTTTGGAGATAATAATGTCTTACTAATTATTCTATACCTGTAGGGAGAAGACGTGGATTCATACCTTTCCCAAGGGTATTTGGATGTAAGTGAATATATAGGACCCAACTGAAATTGAAACACAACTCTCTGATTTTCAATTCTGAGTCATTATCCATTACATCCCACACATATCCAAGCTTACAGCACCTGGTATTCCCAAGCAGTCACCCATAAGATACTGACCAGACTCGATGTTGCTTAATTTTAATGATCTTGTGAGAACCACTATTTCAATGTAATATGGCCATAAGACAAAAGTCATAGAATCACAGTATGTAAAGGTAATGGTTGTTGGCGCCACTGTGCTTTGATGTCATAGAAATGCCCAGACCATAATTGTTGTGCCCTGACATCTGGTGATTCAGTGGGAACACTGGCTTATACAGAGTGTGTCAGGTTTTTGAGGACATGTCTATTGAGGGCTCTAACATTTTGTTAACTTATTTTATTACCTTCTCTTTTCAGATAAGTAATATCAGGTGGCATGGTGGAGTAATGGATAGTGGCTCAGATTGAGGAATCAGAGAGCTGAGTTTAAATTTCAGTCGATTCCATTACATTCACTTACATGCTAATACTCCCCACAGCTATGAGTAAATAGCAGGACAGATCAGGTTTTCTAGTCTTAGATGGCAATTGGTCTACCGCAGAAAGAAATGGCAACCTACTGTGAGAAAAAAATCTGCCTCATCAGTCATGTATCAAAAGATACATGATCACTTAAGCAGGTATCACACATGGCAAATAACTGAGTGAATATCAGGCATAAAGTTAACTCAGGAAATGAAAAAGCCAGCTGTAATTGTTGTTTTTAAAATTGCAATAGAGTGATATGGAGATAGCTCGCTTTCTGAAAAGCGGTCAATCTTTACGTATCAAAGTCCAAAAAGAGCTGGGAGCTGCTGACAGGGATCCAACAGCAGCAACTAAACTCAAAATGCATCCTAAAACCAAAGTAACTAACTTAAGTCACACTGGCTGTTCGGTCAATGAATACCAAATGTTTCCTTATGAGGAAATGGTTAATATTACCATTAGAGATGAGGTGAACAGATACTAAACTTTGATCCCAGCTTGAAGAAAGAGAATGAAGAAAAACTAACTCAAATCGCATTGGCTGTTTGGTCAATGAATGCCAAATGTTTCCTTATGAGGAAATGGTTAATATTATCATTGGGGATGAGGTGAACAGATACTAAACCGCACTGGCTGTTCGGTCAATGAATGCCAAATATTTCCTTACAAGGGAATGGCTAATATTATCATTACCATATTATTATTAATTTTAAATGGGGTGTTTTTTTAAACAGTTTAGCCTGACTTAAAAAAACGGTATGATACAAAAATACATCAAACTAAGCATTTATGCTTCAATCTTTCTGCAGATGATGATCACCCACCTTGAGGAAGTTTATGTTAGGGAGGTTGGGAATGCTAAGAAAATTTTTCCCATAGAAATTAATGTTAATTGCTTCTTCATTTTAGCCATTCTGGACAGCAAAAAACCTGTACAAATGTAGGTCTTTTAAAAAAAATCACCTAAAGTGAAACATTGAAAGACAGTTTATATCTGTTGTAAAAAAAACACTCAAGACACTTGCTTCTTAATGAAATTTCATCCAAGTATTTTTATCAGAGTTGGTTTCATCCTCTGTTTGAAAAATTAATTTTATATTTTTGGCATGGCATTATGACCTAAAACAATGATATTAATGAAAGCTAAGAGTACAAGTTACATGTGACACATTGAAAGAGATTCTCTGATGGCCAGACATGCTTTTTTTATAATAACTGAAGACTGCTGCGGCTGCTGTTGTATATTCTGTTTATGATAATTACGATCTTCTTGCTCTCTCTTTCTTACTCTATCCCATCTACTCTTACTTTCTTTTTCTTTCTTTCTCTCCCACACACTTTTCTTTCTATCACTCTCCTTTTTATCTCCCCACCTCATCTCTTTCCCTACTGTTTCTCTATCTTCCTCCTCCACCTCCTTTTATTTCTCTCCCTTCATGTCTTTTCTCTCTATTTTTTCTTTTTCTTTCGTTCTCCCTACTGTTTTGTCTCTCTCCTTCCCTTGTTCTTCTTATTATTCCTTTCTTTCCAATCCTGTCTTTTTTCTTTTTCTTTCTTTCATTCTCTCTCTCCCTCTCACTTCTTCTTCATCCTCATTCATTGATTTTCTCTCTATTTCTTTTCTTCTGTTTTTCTCTCCCCTCCTCTTTTCCTGTCCTTTTCTCTCTACCTTTCATTCTCTTCCCTGCTCTCTTTCTATTGCCTTCACACTATTTTCTTCATTCCTTCCTCTCTCTCTGCTTTTTATCTCTATCATTCAAATCCTGTGCTTTTCTTTTTCTCTCTCTATTCTTTACTCCTTCTCCACACTGTTTCTCTCTCCCACCCTCCTCTTTCTATTCCTTCTTCTTTTTCTCTCCTCTTTCTTTCTATATCCCTCTCCCTCTTCTTTTTATCCCTCTCTTTCAAACCCTGTCTTTTTTCTCCACCTTTCTCTCTCTTCTTCCCTCTTTCTCCCCACTGTTTCTCTCTCCCACCCTTCTCTTTCTATCGCTTTTTTCTCTCTTTCTCTCCTCTCTCTTACGTGACTTAAAGCCCACTTCCATTTCTGCTTCAGATCCAGCATAGAAATGACGAAAAACAGAGTGAAAAAACAAAACAAAACAAAATCATTGTGGAAAAGGCAAAGAGTTGATTCCAACCAGGAATTTGTAACTAATTCTTTATAAATTGAAAGTAATCTGCAAAATCCTGCTTGAGACATTCATTTATAACAGGATTTCTAATAAGACTGCAAAAGATCGCACAAAAACACACACATGAGGGTGGAGCAATAAATTTGTACCCTGAAACAGAATTATTATTTGGTCTGAAATTTTTCCTGTATAATCTTTAGTCAGTGCAATTAATATTCACCAGTCAGTTAAGTGCATGCACGATGCACTCATTACTAATATGATGTCACAGCCCATTTCTTTATATTTGGTAATATGCTAATGAAAGTATTGTGTGCAGACAGAGTGTTGAAGGACAAAGTATCGAAAGACAAAATGACAAATGGACAAAATGTCAAACAAAGTGTCCAATGGACAAAGCGTCAAATGGACTAAATATGGAAGGACAAAATGTTGAACGGACTAAGTACTGAAGGAAAAAAGTGTCAAATGGACAAAACGCCTAACAAAAAAAAAAAAAAAAGGGGTCACACTGAGTAGATGACAAAATACAATAGGATAGCTTTTACTTAACATGCAAATATCCTGCTGGTAAATAATTATTTTTTCAACTTTAAACTAATATAAAAACCTCTGATAAAAAATAAAAATTCTATGTAACTGCTAACTTTTTTAAACAAGTATCTGGGTCCAAACTACAGTAAAGAGTTAATTTTTTTATTTATGAGAAATTATAACTGTTGTGTCGGAAACCTACCACCCCTCTTGAAGATGAACTTGTCTGCGTCTGTGAACAAAGACTTTAAATAGTGGCATATCAGTTGACATGGGGGAGATAGATAGACAGAGAAGTTCTTAGCTGAGCTAGTTATTGACTACTCAGGCAATTTCTGTACCTTTTTACCAACCTATTAAAACCCTTTTTATTGTTACGTGTTATTTGGCGTTTGTCTCTATTAACCCCAAATCAACATCATAACAATAACTATGGTAAAAATAAAAATAAATTTTTTTTATTTATGACGAAATTACAACCATAGCAGCAAAATATAATTAAAGATTGTGAACGATGTCTTTAAGACATTTAAATTCAGTAATGATGTCATATCTATCAAATATGCCTTTTAATCTTTGGTTTACAATTGGATATTTTTTGTATTTTCTTTTAAAAACTATGTCCTCTTGTAATTGTTGGCTATTATTTATTAAATGATGCCATAGCTAAACGATATAAAGTCTAGAATAGCTTAATTGATTATTTGAACCCAGTTTTTAAAATAATGACAATATGTTCATTTTATTTTGTTCAATATTTTGTCTTTTTGAAACTTTGTCTTTTTGACATTAAGTCCATTCATCATTTAGTCAGTTCGACGTCTTTTCCAATTCTTCACTTTGTCCATTAAATACTTAGTCCATTTAAGACTTTGACCTACCAGCTACTACTGTGGTGAATTATTTCAATAAACAGGCTAAAATTACTCCTGAATGCAGCAGCAATACAGCTACACAATCTTTTATTTGAAACCCTTTTGAAGGAGATATTTTCACAATGATAGTATAGATACCATCCATTAAAACTAGATATATTTGGAAAAGATGTGAGAATAATCTACAACTTATAATGGGAGTAAATAACCTGTACACAGATAGAAAATGAATTAAGTATCTCATCTCAGAAATATAGACAGACAATTAAGTATCTATACAAAAAAAAAATAGAAAGGAATGTGTAACAAAGATGTGTCTTCCTTCCAGATTTATGCAACATCTGCAGCAACACTGTCCTTAAGGGAATTGAAAAAACCCTACCAGGATTTATTATCAGTGGGTATAATAAGAGACCCTCCCCCATACAAATAGTACTGCTAACCAATGATTATGGAGGCTTAATCACTTTTAAGGATATGTCTTCCCTCCAGATTTATGCAACATCTGCAGCAATACTGTCCTTAAGGGAATTGAAAAAACCCTACCAGGATTTATTATCAGTGGGTATAATAAGAGACCCTCCCCCATACAAATAGTACTGCTAACCAATGATTATGTAGGCTTAATCACTTTTAAGGATATGTCTTCCCTCCAGATTTATGCAACATCTGCAGCAACACTGTCCTTAAGGGAATTTCAACCTCTAAAAAAAACCCTACCAGGATTTATTATCAGTGGGTATAATAAAGACCCTCCCCATACAAATAGTACTGCTAACCAATGATTATAAGGATATGTCTTCCCTCCAATGCAACATCTGCAGCACTTTTAAGGGAATATGTCTTCCCTCAGATTTATAGCAACACCTCCCAGCAACACTGCTAACCAACGATTATGGATTTAAAAAACTTCTACAGCAACACCATTATCAGTGGAACCCTCTGGATTTATTCCCTCCCAACACCATCATAAAAAAACCCTACCAGGATTTATTTAACCAACGATTATGGAGATTTATTCAACCTCTTAATCACTCCCTAACCAAGGATATGTCTTTCACTTTCAGGATTTATTTATTCAACCTCTGCAGCAACACTGTCCTTAAGGGATTTTGCAAAAAAACCCTACCAGGATTTATTTATTATCAGTGGGTATAATAAGAGACCCTCCCCCATACAAATAGTACTGCTAACCAACGATTTATGGAACCTCTTAATCACCATTTTAAGGATATGTCTTCCCTCCAGATTTATGCAACATCTGCAGCAACACCATCCTAAGGGAACTGGAACCCTACCAGGATTTATTTCAACCTCTAAAGCAACACCATCCATACAAAGGAATTGCAACACCATTTTAAGGGAAAAAATCCCCTGAAAAGTCCCTACCAGGATTTATTATCAGCAACACCATCCTGGGTGGAGACCCTCCCAGGATTTAAACCTCTACAGCAACACCCTTAAGGGAACTTTTGGAAATACCAGGATTTATGCAACCTCTAAAGCAACACCATCCTTAAGGGAACTGAAAACCCTACCAGGATTTATTCAACCTGTACAGCAACACCATTAAAGGAATAGGGAAGGATTTATTAATCACCATCCTTTAAGGATATTCAACCTCTCTTCCTAAGGGAACTGGAGTCCCCTCCAGGATTTCAACCTCTGCAGCAACACCATCCTAAGGGAACTGGAGTCCCAACAGGATTTATCCTTACAGCAACACCATTAAAGGGAACTGGAGACCCCCCAGGATTTATTACCTAACGCGGTTCCAGCAACACCATCCTAAAGGGAACTGAAGTCCCTACCAGGATTTATTCAACCTCTAAAGCAACCCATCCAAATGGAGTACTCAACCTCTAACAACACCATCCTAAGGGAAAGGGGATACCAGGATTTATTCATCTAAAGCAACACCATCTTAAGGGAACTGGAGACCCTACCAGGATTTATTCAACCTCTAAGCACACCATCCTAAGGGAACTGGAGTCCCTATCCTAAGGAAACAGGAGAACCCTACCAGGATTTATTCAACCTTAAAGCAACACCATCCTAAGGGAACTGGAGTCCCAGATTTATTATAAAGCAATCCATGGAGACCCTCCAGGATTTATTCAACATCTAAAGCAACACCATCCTTAAGGGAACTGGAGACCCTACCAGGATTTACTCATCCTTAAGCAACACCATCCTAAAAAACCCTACCAGGATTTAAGCAATTTAAGGGAATGGAGACCCTACCAGGAGTGGGAACTGGAGACCCTACCAGGATTTATTCAACCCTAAAGCAACACCATCCCCCTACCACAAATATTACCTCTAAAGCAACACCATCCTAATGGAACTGGAGACCCTACCAGGATTTATTCAACCTTAGCAACACCATTTAAGGAACTGTCTTCCCTCCAGATTTATGCAACATCTGCAGCACCATCCTAAGGGAACTGGAAACCCTACCAGGATTTATTCAACCTCTAAAAAACCATCCCTACCCTACCAGGATTTATTTCTAAAGCAACACCATCCTAAGGGTGGAGGGATTTATTCAATACAGCAACACCTCCCCTGGATACAAATAGCAACACCATCCTGGAGACCCTACCAGGATTTATTCCAATACCAGGATTTATTATGGAACTGGGCCCTACCAGGATTTATTCAACCTCTTTAAGGATACTGGAGACCCTCTTCAACCTCTAAAGCAACACCATTAGGGAACTGGAGACCCCTACCAGGATTTATTCAACCTCAGCTTAACACCATCCTAAAGGAACTGGAAAGCAACACCATCCTAAGGGAACTACCCTACCAGGATTTATTCAACCTCTACAGCAACACCATCCTAAGGGAACTGGAGACCCTACCAGGATTTATTATAAGGGAACTGGAGACCCTACCAGGATTTATTCAACCTCTAAAGCAACACCATCCTAAGGAACTGGAGACCCTACCAGGATTTATTCAACCTCTACAGCAACACCATCCTACAAACACCATAGATTTATTCAACCTCTAAAAGCAACACCATCCTAAGGGAACTGGAGTACCAGGATTTATTCAACTTTTAAGGACACCATCCTAAGGGAACTGGAGTCCCTCCAGATTTATTCAACCTCTGCAGCAAACATCATCCCTACAGGATTTATTCAACTGGAAACCATCCTAACCAGGATTTATTCAACCTCTAAAGCAACACCATCCTAAAAGACCCTACCAGGAATTCAACCCTACCTAAGGATTTATACCAGGATTTACCTCTAAAGCAACACCATCCTAAGGGAACTGGAGTCCCTGCCAGGATTTATTCAACCTCTACAGCAACACCATCCTTAGGGAACTGGAGTCCCCCAGGATTTATTCAACCTCTACAGCAACACCATCCTAAGGAACTGGAGACCCTTAACCAGGATTTATTCAACCTCTACAGCAACACCATCCTAAGGGAACTTCCCTACCAGGATTTATTCAACCTCTACAGCAACACCATCCTAAGGGAACTGGAGACCCTACCAGGATTTAT